CTTCACCCCCCTGTCCGAACACGACATCATTTTTTATGATTCGCCCAATCCGGTGAGTGATAATACATGAACTTCGACCCTTTCCCATAGGAGGAGCCCCCGGTCTAACCTCTCTCGCTCACTCGGTTATGAGACGCTCGCGATTCGCTAAACCCCTCCTCCTCCTTCCTTCCCTTCCTCTCCTCCCACACACTGCACCAACCACCACCACCACCAGCAAAGAGCTCACTTCATAACCAATTCAGCACAAAAACTCCCAGCTGACACACCCCCACTCTAGCCTCAGAAAATCCCGATCCAGTGAATTTTCAAATAAAGATCCAGCCAGTTCCACCGCCGCCAATACAACCTCTTCTCTCTCCCTCCATCCCTCCCTCACTTTCCTTCTTCTTCCTTCTTCCCCCCCCCCCCCCTCCCTGCCACACCAACTCAGCGTTACGCTACATAGAGCCAGGCTGTCGTAGGACTGGTGGAACCCCGCTCCCAGTATTAAAATAAAATAAAGCGAACACCACCACAACCACCACCACCACACCTAATACCAGGTCTCCGGTTATTCCCAACTTTCCTGCTCGTACGAGTAGGTCGGGTCTACGTTGATTTTGAAAAACAAAATAAAGTAGGATTCAAAGGTTAAAAAAAATATTATATAATGCTATCACATGCCAGCTGAAGTTTTGGATAGAGGACTACATGCAATCCATCGAATCGCTGGTCTTTTTTTTTTTTCTTTCACCCTCTCTCTCTCTTTTGGTAGAATGGGTGGATGATTTACTCGACAAAGCAAGTACGAGTAGGCATAGTATGATATGCATGTATGGGCGTGATATGATATCTTTTGGATCGGTCTTGTAATCCTGTAAGCCTGGATTATTCATCCGATGCTTTCGTCAAACGCTCCTGGTTACAAAGAGGAAACGCAAAAAAATGTAGGCATGCATGTCTCTCATTTGGCTGCCCAATGAGTTCTATCTTGGTCCCTCCAGGAAACGGGTTCGCTGTCCGTAATGGTGCAAATCAGTATCATATCAGTCCGGTAACTCCCCACCATTTTTTTTTTTTCTCCTCTCCTGCTTCCTTTCAAGTTTAAGATGCTCGCGAATCGGTTAATACCG